CATGATTTAAGAAAAAATAAAAAAAGTTAAAAATATATGATTACAAAAGAAAAAAAATCAACATTAAAAACATAACAATCCAACTACATACTCGGTTTATATCGCTAAATCGATTTACAATTAAGAAACAAAAAGAGTAAATCATTAAAATTTTACTTTTTTCAATAAATAAATATTATTTTTAATTTAAATTAAAACAACATAAAAATTAAATTTAAATTATTAGTATATTGTAAAGATTTTTTACATTTCTATACATATTTTATAGCATTTTCTTTATATATATATATATATATATATATATATATACATATATATATATATACTGATTTTTTCAAAAAAATGAGGGGGGCCCACGGGCCCCCCTGGGCCTTATATGGCTCTGTCTTTGATTCAGGCTATCTAAGTACCTGTTAAAACCTAATACCCTAGAATAATATGTCGCAAGAGCGACATGACAGTATCATAATGACTTACTGAGCTACCACTTGGGTAGGAGACACTTATGGGAAGATTAATATGACAACTGGAACTAGACAACGATTTAGTTAAACCAATCTATAATGAATAAGAAGGAATCTAATGATGACTAAGATGTGATTAGGATGAAGATAAGAATAGACCGTGGGTAGATGGGCAGGCTGACCGCGGGCAACTCGAGCATGTATTCCCCTATAAAAGTGATGCAAGTAGAAGCTAATGGTAGGAGATTTGTAAGAAGATGTACAAAAACGATGACAGTTTCTTTTCTTTCTACTTCAATTTCATAAAATGCTTAACTGCTCGAATAAACATCCTACATCAGTTTTTAATACAGAAGTTTTAAATATTTAAAGCCCAACTACTACAAGCCTAAAGTCCAAATAAAACAAGCCCATACCAAACATAAATTAATACAGACGTAAATAATACTCCCTCCTTTTCAAAATAAGTGTCGTTTTGACTTTTTTGATTTATCCATTTTGCTATGTATCTAGACATAAATATAATAAATATGTCTAGACATAAATATGTATCTAGACATAAATATGTCTAGATACATAGTAAAATGGATGAATTAAAAAAGTCAAAACGACACTTATTTTAAAAAGGAGGTAGTAGTAACTAAATATAATAATGATCACACTAAATACCGAAGTCGATCATGAATGTCGAGAAATGCCAACGCACTCTCATCGGCATCAAAAAGGGGGTGAGGTACAACCGTAAACCTTCTTCTACACACTATGATTCGATGCTCTACTTACAGCACATAACTTTCTTCTTCTTAGTATTGACTTAAGCATCAGAGTGCTAATGCCGGGAACTCCACCCGACACTTTTTGCAGGTCTCAGTTGTTCAGGGACATCGAAGCTTTCGTTTGCCGGTTCAGTCTCCACTTAGATTCGTCATGTCAAAAAGTAAATTAGTAATTTTGAAAAATAAAAAAATTAATAATTTTCGCAGCTATAGAAGGTATGTATTACACGCGCCGTTAAGTTGGACGGAATGGGGAACCATGATCCAATTGCTTAAATATAAGAGAGTTTCGCGTAATTTTTAAATCACACTAGGAAAACGCACATATTTCGTTAAACATAAGGGGGCACGACATATTTTACCCGACGAAAATATTTGTACATTTTGCATTAAGATAATTTCGTAATTTAAAGATGGGGAGGCCCATTTTCTATTCGAGGACTGATTGGTCCAATAACATCAGTTGAGAACTAGCAGAAAATTAACCAAAGCCCATTTATTACCTGGCCCAACCCAACTATTGTCAACGGACACTGATTTTTCAGTTCTTTTGTTTTCTCGGGAGTTAAAAAATACTTGAAGACAGTCCTCGATCCGTCAGCTCTCCATTTAGCTCAAGAACCCTAATTTAGGGTTTCGAATCTGTATTCTTCATCGAAGGTAATCTCTTTAGTAATTCATCTTCCTGATGTCCATAGACTAATTCGTTGGTTAATTTGTTCACTTTTTTATGCAAATATTTTTAAATTCGTTTTGCTATGGTATACGGTGGGTTTTTGTTGCGATTTTCGTTTGGGTTTGTGTTCTGCTTGGATTTTGTGTTGCACTTATGCAATTCCATTTTTGATTATTGAGGTTAGTGAAGCTCGAAAAAGTATTGGATTTGGTTTTGCACTTATGCAATTCCAATTTTTTTTTATTATTGATGATGATGTATTGAGGTTAGTGAAGCTTGAAACGGTATTGGATTTGGTTTTGCACTTATGCAATTCCAAAATTTTGATTATTGAGGTTAGTGAAGGTCGAAAAAATTGTGGATTTGGTTTTGCACTTATGCAATTCCAATTTTGATTATTAAGGTTAGTGAAGCTCAGAGAAGTTGTGGATTTTGTTCGAAGTCTTCTCGGCTGATGAGAAAGTGTTGAAATCTTGTGTAGCATGAGAACATTGTAGAACAATAGTTTTCCTCTTCCGATTTTTCAATGATGGTAATGAAAGCAACTGTCTGGTTGTATGTAATTGAATGTGAATTTTTCGGTGTTTTCAAATGAAGTAGCTGGTTATCTGATGTATGGATGTGAAGAGGGATTTCCTGTCCTGTAAATTAGAATTAGCAGTATGGATATATTTTGGCCTCTTGATTAACACAAATTCTTGTATGAAGCGGCATTACTGTTAGGCTGGTTGACATATCATACTTTTGCACCAAACTAGTACAGAGCCCGTGCGATGCACGGGGTGCACAATTATAAGGTCATTTATTCATTCTTATAATTATATAAATGAATAAAAAAATGTACGGGATATATATAGTACGTGACCTATAATAGGCCAAAATGTGAACACGGGTGATGCACGGGGTGCACAATTTTAAGGTCATTTATTAGTACAGAGCCCGTGCGATGCACGGAGTGCACAATTTTTTAGTATGTGATAAAAATACATACCGTATGCACAGGACAAAAGCACTAAATGAGTCATTTTCACATAGCTTGCCCGTTAAGTAGCTCCTGAACACGTGTGCACAATTTGTAGTACTACCATAAAATCAGAAAAGATTTCCATACAATTAGATAATAAATTAAATAATAAATAAAGCTTTTTTATTTTAGTAAAGATTTTACGTACTTTGTTTTTTACTTATCGGATGTTATGGAATTTTATTTGTTAGACCGATTTTATGGAATATAATACAAATACAATTAAAGGATTGAACAAAATTAGAACAAATTTTCATACAATTAGATAATATAAAGGAATTAGATAAGGAAAAGAAGGAATTAGATAAGAAAATAAAGGAATTAGATAAAGAATTTTAAATCTGACTTTTTTTTTTTTATAGATAGACTTTACATACAAATTTTGACTTCACTGATTTTATGGGATTTATTTTGACAAAATCGATGTTAATATGGAATAAGACAAATAAATAAAGTCTTTTTATTTTAGTAAAAATTTTACGTCTTTTTTTTTTTACTTGTCATATGTTATAGGATTTTTTTTTCTTAAACTGATTTTATGGGATATAAGACAAATAAATAAAATAATTAAATAAAATTCAGGATAAAAATAGCAATGCGTTAATTACGTTGACTTTTCAATCTACTAAATTTGGTAAATAGGATACCTTATATAATAAGTATAGATACAAATAAATAACATGCCAAAATTTTAAAGAATAATTAAGGTATTTTAATTTATTATCTAGCCATCAGTAATATCATTTAATAATGTGATCATTATCTCTTAAATGATAAATAAAATATTAATTTAAAAAAAATATTTGTTTTTTATATACTCAAATAAAAATTAAAAAATTACTATCGACAAATATGAATTATAATATATATCAGTAAAATCATTGCAGAAGTTAATAAAATTATTTAAGGAAATAATCTTTTTGATCATATTTGAATAGGAAATGTATATATGCAAGCAATTAATGCATATAGTAAAAAATTTCTAAATAAAGTATGCATTAAATGTGAGTTGACTTTTTTTGCTACTATTTTTGGTAAATAGTATGGCTTTTAATATAAGTATAGATATAGATATAGATTTGATAATATCCATTAATTACCATAATTTTCTTGGTTTCTATGGATACTCGGCTTTTAAAATTTGAATGTCTTGTTCTATTCGTTTTTTAAAAACAATTAATATTTATTTTAATAAAAAACATCTTTTTAAATTTAGATACTTCTGTAACTTATTATTAAAAATAGTTATTTTTTTTTCAAATTACTTGATTATGGTAAATTAATTATTTTAGATTTTTGGATTGATAAAACATTGGAAGCAGATAATCTAAAATCTCCTCAATCACCCTGCGAAAAAAAAAAAAAATGCATTGTTTATTAAATTATAAAATCACCCAATTGTCCATACATGTAAAGGACAATCAAATATGTTAGAAATTCAAAGATGTAGGCTATTTTAGTGGGTATATATTGACCATTTGAATTCAAGATGGAAACATTATCCTAAAATGATCTAAAACCCATAATTTGTGGCAACATTTAAAGCTAATTGATTTTTTAAAAAATAATATAAAAAATGTTACTATTGATGGAAAGTAATTAATGATGAGCAATTTGACCATATAATTGACCTGTCATTTTAAAAAAATGGTAATTCTTTTTATATATATATAGATATAGATATGAATACTCATGCTATGAAATGTCATACTTCAGTTTGTTTTGTTTTTAGAGTATTGCATTCCAGCTTGAAAGTGTGCAATACTTGGTGGAAAAGTATGGTTAGCTATTCAGTTTGTTTTGTTTTTAGAGTATTGCATTCCAGCTTGAAAGTGTGCAATACTTGGTGGAAAAGTATGGTTAGCTAACCGTCATACCAATATATTAACCTTTCCGTGCAACCGTCATTTGGAACGTGATTCAGTTTATGTAACCTCCAAGTTTGTTTTCTGTACACTTTCAATGACACTCATGTCATTCGAAGGCAAAGTGAAACGAGTTTATTTTGTTACTGCATATCAAAATGTTCAGTCTCTATTAATATGTATGCAGAAAAAACAATGCAAGTCGAAAGTGCTTTATCCGTCATCGGCCCAAAGCCGACCGACCTGTCGACACCGGCGCCAACCACCGGCCCCGGACCAAATGGCAAACAGCGCACGTCCAGCCTGGAGGCCCCCATCATGCTACTCGCCGGCCACCAGAGCGCGATCTACTCCATGAAGTTCAACCCCACGGGCACCATAATCGCGTCCGGGTCCCACGACCGGGACATCTTCCTCTGGCACACGCACGGCGACTGCAAGAACTTTGCCGTCCTGCGTGGCCACAAGAACGCCGTCCTCGACGTCCAGTGGAGCCCCGACGGGTCCCAGCTGATCTCCGCCAGCCCCGATAAGACCCTCCGTGCCTGGGACGTCGAGTCCGGGAAGCAGATCAAGAAGATGGTGGGCCACCTGTCCACTGTCAACTCGTGCTGCCCGGCCCGTCGGGGCCCGCCGCTGGTGATAAGCGGGTCGGACGACGGGACCGCCAAGCTCTGGGACATGAGGCAGCGGGGCCCGGTTCAGAGCTTCCCGGACAAGTACCAGATCACGGCCGTCAGCTTCTCGGACGCGTCCGACAAGTTCTACACGGGAGGCATCGAGAATGATGTCAAGGTGTGGGACC